CTGTACACCTTGTTATCTTCGACTGCTGGAGATTTGGAATCTGTTGTTAGCAACAACGAATATTTGATTGAGAGAGGTTGAGGGAAGGAATGAAGCATATTTTATTCCTGTCTCAGTTCAGTATCACAACGTAGAATCAGAAGTTATGTTGCAATTTAATAATTTGAGAATTTTAGTGTTACCAGCAACAGTCATGCTGCACTTCAAAAGATTTTAATCTATTTCAACCTAAGTAACAATATGGTGCAGCAACATGAACAGAGTTACAAGGAAGGGAGTTCGTGGTTGAATACATGGCAATGCAGTTCCTATTTTTAATCCCCTTGACTTTCAACAGAGTTTGTACAATTCGGAGGTGCAATCAAAGTACACTTGGATAATTGTTGAAATGTCACTTTCATCGTGTAAAGATTCTGTAACAATCCCTGGATGCTGTAAGGTGTTAATGATTAAAGAGGGTTATGCACTATCAGAAAGGTGGGCTTTGTTGCCCTAATTAGTGTCGAACCCGTTGTGTTCAGGTCTGTTGTGATGTATCAGTAGTGTCCCTGACTCTGAGCCGGGTGGTCTATGTTCATTTACAACCTGTTACAGAGGTATGTAATATTGTCTTTTATCAGGTTAATTCGGGTAACAAGAGAACATTGAGTTCTTCGGGTGTTGTTGGAATTCCACTCAGAGAGGCCTGTGAAATGTATTCAATCGCTACTTGACTTGTGCCTCTGAAATATTAGACAGAATTTTGGTGCTTAGCAGCTTTTATAAAAAATCAATACTTGTTCACGGGCTGCAGGGCGTCTCTAACTGGCGTTAATGGAGTAACTCCCCATAGAAATCCCGACTTTTGACTTGCTGTTCCATCAATAGCATTTATGGCTAATCCAGAATTAATCATTTCCCAAACACTTTTGATGAGGCAATGTCGAGGCTGTTTTCTTTTGTATCAAACTAGTGGTCAGTAGGGCGCACATCTGCTAAATCCAACACTCGCAGCAGATAGTGGTTGTTTTTCAGTAAGTTTTCAATTTATATCTCAGCTTGTCCTGTACCTCTGCTAAAAATCCTCTTCCAGCAGATATGTCATGCAAACTTAATCAGCATCTAACTCAACAGTTAGTAGTTCTCATGCCAGAAAACACGAAAACAATTTGCCGAAAAGGGTGTCACTGGACTCGAAAGCTTAACTTTGCTTTCTCTCTACAGGAGCTGCGAGACCTGCTCAGTTTCTTCAGCAATTTTTGTCTTTATTTCAAGTTTCTATCATTCACAGTTTGTTGCTTGATTTTTTTAAGTGTTCTGCTGTCAGGTGAAACAACTTAAGGTATTCGAAGGGAAAATGTACTTTAATGAATTAAGAAAATTAAATGATATTTAATATCAGAGAATCATTGAATGTGAGTGACTTGATCTAGAACAGTAATTTCAGAAAAACTGTGCTGGGACCACAACTTTTCACTTTGTACATTAATGATCTAGATGAAGGAACTGGGGAATTCTGGCTATGTTTGCAGACAATACAAAGACAGGTAGAGGGACAGGTAGTATTGAGGAAGTGGCGAGGCTGCAGAAGGACTTCGGCTGGTTAGGAAAGTGGGCAAAGAAGTGGCAGATGGAGTACAACGTGGGAAAATGTTAGGTCATGCACTTTGGGAAGAAGAACAAAAGCATGGTCCATTTTCTAAATGGGGAGAAAACTCAGAAGTCTGAAGTGCAAATAGACTTGAGAGTTCCAGTCCAGGATTCTCTCAAGGTAAACTTGCAAGTTGAGCCAGTAGTCAGGAAGGCAAATGCAATGTTGACATTTATTTTGAGAGGACTTGAATATAAAAGCAGGGATGTACTACTGAGGCTTTATAAGGCTCCGGTCAGGTCACATTTGGAGTGTTGCGTGCAGTTTTGGGTCCCATATCTCAGGAAGGATATACGGGCCCTGGGGCGGGTTCAGAGGAGGTTCACGAGAATAGTCCCAGGAATGGAAAGCTTAACATATGAGGAACGTTTGAGGACTCTGGGACGAGACTCATTGGGGTTTAGAAGGATGAGGGGGTGATCTAATTGAAACATTCAAAATACTGAATGGCCTGGACAAAGTGGATGTTGGGAAGATGCTTCCATTGGTGGGAGAGTCTAGGACCCGAGGGCACAGCCTTAGAGTAAAGGGAAGACCTTTTAGAACGGAGATAAAGAGAAACTTCTTCAGCCAGAGAGTGGTGAATCTATGGAATTCACTGCCACAGAAGGCTGTGGAGGCCAGGTCATTGAGTACATTTAAGACTGAGATAGATAAGTTCTTGATTATCAAGGGGATCAAGGGTTACAGGGAGAAAGCAGGAGAATGGGATTGAGGAACTTATCAGCCATAATTAAATGGCAGAGCCGACTCGATGGGCCGAATGGCCTAATTTCTGCTCCTATGTCTTATGTTCTTATAAACAGTAAATTCACCGTCACTGGATTTCAATCAATTACGCAGAAATGTAATATTTGCTAAAGTGCCTCAGCAATGACAGCATTGACTAACTTGTTTCAATCAGACATAGCACTTCAGTGACAAACAATAGACTGTAAAATGTTTAATAAAAAGTGTTCCCCACCAGTGATAGCATAACGAATGACACAATGGCAGGAAGATTAAGAACAGGAATAGGGCACCCAGCCCTTCGAGTTATTCCACTATTTGATTCGATCATAGTGGATCTATGACTTAACTCCATAGGCCAGCCTTTAGCAAAAATCTTTAGCACCTTTGATTAACAAAGGAAATCCGTCCCAGATTTAATGATTCGATTGCACATAACAAAGGGAGACACTATTTCTGAAAGACGTTACGTGTTTTATTCAAAGTGACACAATGAGGCTGTAATTAATTGCTAATTAAAATAAACTTTAACTCTATGACAATTTCCAATTCAAGCATCCCAATCAAGTTGGTCAGATCCCTTTAATTTAAAATTATATTTCTTTAGTCCAAAGAAGTATAATATATTACTGCAGTGCTCAAAATGAGGAAAACTTCATTCTCATTATGTGATGAAGAAATAGTTCTGTCAGTTCAGTGAAAACATAGACAAAGCACGCAGAAGGAAACCATTCAGCACGTCATCCCTGTATGGACACACAGCAAGTACCTCAAATATGTCTCAATTCTACCAGTGGTTATTTGGGTTTCTACACAGCATGAAAGTGTCAGAATTCTTACATCTCCTTGAGAAGCTAGTCGTCATCAGCCTACTTGAATTGCTAAGGTTCATGTGGTATTAGCACTTCCTCGGCACTGTTAGAAAGCAAATTCCACAGTTGTGATCCAGAAATAAGTAGAGGGGCAGTGAAATAATTACAAGTCAAGATAGAGTATAATTTGGAGGAAATCTTTTTAGGTGAAGTACTTAAATGCCTGTGAGCCCTTGTTCTCAACGGTCGTAGTTTTGAGATGTGCTGCCGAAGGACCATGTGAACTTACAAATTAGAAGCCGAAAAAATACATCATGGCTCCTCTAGAATGCTATTCCTTTCGTGAGATCATCATAAATCTTGCTGTTCGACTGACTTTCCAAATCCCAATAAAATTTAACCCAATTGTTCATTGTTCAACTCGAGAATGGTGAACCTCTGAATGTTATGCCACAGAGTGTGATTGAGGCTTAAACATTAAATGATTTTAAGAAGGAGATTATTTTAAGGGTTGAGGGAAACAATGGGTACGTGGGAAAATCGTGAACAGGGAACAGTATTGGATGATAATCCATGAAAACATGGAATGAAGTATGGTTCGTAAGACTGAGAATTATACCAAAATTTGACAGTGAAGAACGTGGTCCAAAAGTACAACGGATTCTTGATTTTCTGGCTCAATGGGCTGACGAGTCGCAGATTGTGTTTAACTTAGATGAACACGAGCCGTTGCATTTTAGTAAGACAAACAATGGTAGGACTTACACAATTAATGGTAGGGTACTGGGTACTGTTGTCGATATAAGAGACCTGGGTGTTCAGAAACATACAGTTTGAATGTGGTGTCTCAAACCGCTGGCGTGTTGAAGACGGCGTTTGGTGCGCGTGTCTTCATTGGTCGGAGACTACGGTTTGGGATTTCGTGTTGCAGCTGTACCAGATATTGGAATGAACTGCCAGAGAAAGTGGTAAAAATGTAAATATAATTAACAACGTTTAAAATATATGTGGACAGGTACATGAACTTGACAGACCAGGATAGAAATGGGTCAAATGCAGGCTAATTGAATTAGGTTAATTTGAACCCTGGTCGGTATGGACGAGTTGGACCAAATGGTCTGCTTCTGTACAGGATGACTTTATGATTCTATGACTTTATGGTGGAGCTAGTGATTGGGGTTAGAGTGATAATGCAGTAGAGTGTTCACTGGTAGGGTGTGACGTGTTGAGCGACTGCTGGGTAAACTAGTATACACATAGTCTGGCAGGGTGGCATCAAGGTAAATGACTAAGGTCACAAGGAAATGGTTTTGTCGAGTGGTGCTTTGTAGGTGAGGAGTAGTTTGAGCTGAAATGCAGGAGGTGTTCGGGTGCAAAGCTAGTTAGTTGAGAGGTTGGCAGGGTGCTGGGCTGGTTCGGTGATAGAAGTTCACTGTAGTAAAGTGGCAGGTGGACATGATCTGAAAATGAAATGGAGTTTGGCTAAGTGGTAGGCAATAAAGAATAGATTGCAAGAGAAGTAGGTTGCAACGTGTATAGGTTGAATTGGGTAAGATGAGAGGGAAGTGATCTGGGACTGATGTCTTGTCTGGGAAGTTAGGTCCTGCCAGGGGTTCTGCAAATTTTATTTTTGACTTGATTTGACAAGTAAGCGAGGGTCACTGGACCTGAAACGTTAACTCTGATTTCTCCCCACAGATGCTGCTTGCGGCTGGGTGTTTCTGGCAATTTCTGGTTTTTTGCTTCTAATTTCCAGCATCCGCATTTCTTTGGTTTTTATTTCGTGAAACTTCTCCGCTCTTCACTTGTAATCCAATGAAAGTGTCCATTGGCGAAATTTCCACACAGTTACTGGTGATGGAATCAAAGAATTCTTATTGCTAACTTATATGATAATGGCTAATATAGAGGGCGTGCTTCTGAAAAAGGAACCAATAGATCATGAACAACAAATGATAGAAAACAAAAATAAATTCAAGCTATGTAGATTTTAGCAGAAACAGTTTACTGCTGAGGATACATTTGAGTAACTGCTAAGGTCGAATTAACAGTGGCTAACTTGTTCAATCGTCTATTCTTCCCCCAGCGACACCATCTTTCCCCACACTTTATGGCTTAGTGTCATCCTGTCAACCACACAGCACTGATGGTTCTGTGATCTTTGGTTGTTTGGCAATGGACTATTCCCCTGACGTCACCAAGGTGACGTGGAAGAAAGAAGGGAAGCAAATCACGACTGGATTGAATACTTACCCATCAGTGAGAAACAAGAAGGGAACTTACACCCTGAGCAGCCAGTTAACCGTGACTGAGTCAGAAGTGGAATGCAGCAAAATCTACTGTGAAGTTCAACACCAAGGGTCAGAGAAGAGCGTTGAAATGCCATGTAAGTGTTGTGGGAACTGAGACAAACAGAACATCTGTGATTAACATGATGAATAGAGCCTTATTTATAACACTTTTCACAGCGCCATAGAGGTATACAGCACAGTACAAAGACCTTCGGCCTATCAAGTCCACGCCTATCAGTAACAAACACTTAACTATGCCAGTCAAATATGCTAGCACTTGATCCATTGTCTTGTATGACTTGCCATTGCAAGTGTTCATCTCAGTGCTTATTACTTGTTATGAGAGATTTAGTTTCTATATGACTTAAAAGCATTGAGCTCCAGATTCACACCATCGTCTGTTTAATTTTGTTTTCCCCTGACATTTACTCTAAACCTTCTGCCCTTACCTATGCCCTATGCCCATTTGACATTGATCCCTCTATCAAAGGCAAAAGTTTCTTCTTGTTTATCCTATCTCTGCCCATCATAATTTCAGGCATCTCAATCACGTTCTCCCTCAGGCTCCTCTGGTCCAAGGAAAACCCCTGCCTGACTGAGCTCATTTCATAACTAAAACCGTCCAGCCCAGGCAAAATCCTGGGAAATCTCATCTATGCCTCTTCAGTATAATCACATTCCTCTGATAATGTGCATTCCTGATCTGCACACAATTCTCAATATGGCCTAATCAGCGTTTTATTAATTTCTAGTATCATCTCCTCGTTCTTAAATTCAATGCCTCGGATAATAAAGACCAATATCCCACATACATTTTTAACTGAGTCGGTGGGCATGCGCAAAAAAGATTTTCAGTGCTTTCCAGGGTTCCCCCATTCAAACCGTAGTACCTTGCATTTTCTTCTGCCCAAGTGCGTATACCTTATACGTATCAGTAATGATTTCCATTTGCCAGCTCTCACCACTTCTCAACTGTTCTACATCCATCTGTGATCTAAAGCTATCATGCTCACGACTGAACAACTCGACAATTTTCGTTTCACCTCTGAACTTACTCGTCAGCCTTCGTACATTCAAGTCTAAATCATTTGTGTATAAGAGAAAAAGCAAGGGAATCAACACTGATTCCTGCACCCTAGCACTAGACATAGACTTCCAGTCGCACAAACACTCCACGACCATTATGCTCTGCTGCATGCCACTCAGCCAATTCTGGATACAGTTCAACAAACTAACTTGGATTCTATTCGTCATATCTTTGCTATCATCTGCATACCTGGTTAACTCTTCGAAAAATACCATCAAATTGTTTAGATATAACCCCCCCCCCCCCCCCCCCCGAACCACATTAAAACCACGCAGGAATTGTTGATTAACGTTCCGAATGAAGACAAATTCTGCTTCTCAATTGTTTCAATAGTTAGCCTACCACTTCGCAGGCCTGTAGTTTCAATGTTTATCTCTTCCCCTTCCTGCATAACAGTACCACATTGGCTGACCTACAGTCATTTGGCACATCCCCTGTAGCCAGACAGGGATTCTAAACTGTTGCCAGCGGCCCAACTATTTCATCCTTCGCTTTGCTCACCAGCTTGGCATACATTTCGCTCGCCCTGAAAATTTAACTACTTTTCTTCGAACAAGAAAACACAGCAAATTTCGTCATCTATCCTAATTTCTTATTGTCAATCACAGTATTTCCCCATGATTTCTATACCCACATCGTCCCTCGTGTGAGTGAACACCAACACAACGTATGCAAATCGAACACAACCTACGTCCTCTGACGCCATGCCAGGAATAACACTGTAGAACTTAATGACAGTTACTAATTTGTGAGTTATCCTTTTCTTATGATTGAACTTGTAACAAATTTTTATAGTTTCCTTTATTTTGACTTCCAGTACTCTTTCCTTTCTCCTCTCCTATTTCCTCTGTTTCAATAACCCCCTTGCACGTTCTGTCCTTTTGGAGAGCTTGTATTGCTCTGAGTCATCAGTATATAACATAAGCCTGCCATTTTTTTTTTCTTTATCGAGCTACTTTATGTCCTTTGAATGTCCAGAGCTCACTGCATTTTTGGTCCCACGCTGTGCCTTAATCACAACATGTTGTCCCTTTGCTATTCCTATTCCTTTCTTGAAAATGTTCTACTGCTGTAACTCTGGGTAACCAATAAATGTCGTCTTCCAGTGCAGTCTGGTCAAATCGCACGTGACCTTATTAAAATTGGCCTTCCCCATTTCAGAACGTTGGTTTAGGCCCATTCCTATCCCTTTCCAGAACAACCTGGAAACTAACAGTTTTACGATCGCTGTCTGCAAAATGCTCCATCATTGATATTTTAACCACTTGTTCATGCTCATGACCTAAAGTTAATTTCAGGTTCACCCTTCTCTTGCAAGTTCTGTATGAAAAAGGGCTGTATTAAATACATTTTCTATTTAAAAGCTCTCTTGGGAGCATTTTCAGAATTCTGCTCCCTCTAAACTTTTGACATGATGAATGGCCGAGCTGATGTTGAAGAAGTTAAAATCCCCTTTAATCATTCCCCTATTAATTTACACTTCTCTGAAATTTGCTTGTGTATCTGCACTTATCGATCTCATGGACTTGGGGTGGAATCCATAGAACTGTCCCAGTCATATGTTTGCTTTATTTTGGTTTTTAATTACTATTCATTTGCCTTCATTTGGGGATGTATCTATGATTTAATTCCTCTTCACAACTGAAAATACCATGATCAGCATTGTGACAGACGCGTGATCCAATTTTACATCTTTCCCTGTCTCGCCTGAGGGCCGTATGTCCTGGAATTATAAACTACCAATCCTGCCCCTCCCTCAACATATCTCCGTGATATCAATGGCACCATTTCCTCATTTCTACCGTCAACTCATTTACTTGTTAGTCAAACTTCTTTCCTTAAAACGAATAGCATCTAACATTGCTATCTCCATTTTGATTAAACTGATCTATAATTTATATGCCTTCACAACTCCTTTGCTGTATTTTCTAATTTTGGCCCTTCACATCATCCTGCAGATCTTTCTGTGTAGATCATAGCTTCTGTCGCAATCTGCACATTATGACCATTGTAATGTCAAAGATCGTAACTATAAACTACAATTAACCTTGATTTATAAGAACTAATTACATTTGATATCAAATTCGTCAGATAATTTGTACGATGTGTTTCCTTAAGGTTTAGAAATTGTCCATCCAACTCTTCTCCTAACTGTGAGTTCCAGCGAAGAAATCGAGAGCAGCAAAGTTGCAACCGTCGTCTGTTCAATCATGGATTTCCATCCTAAGCAAATTTCCGTGACTTGGTTGAAGAATGGACGACCCGTAGGTTCTGGTTTCTTCACCTCTCCCGTGTGTGAAGCGAGCGGGAACTTCTCGTCGACTAGTCAGCTGAGAGTCCCTTATAGTGAATGGTTCAACAGCGCAGTCTATACGTGCCAAGTCACTCATGAAGAGGCCATTCAAAGTCGAAACATCACCGGACCGCAGGGTAAGAGACACAAACCAAGAGAACTAAAAATCATTCTGAACTTGATGTAAACCAAATACACGAATTTATCAGGCTTTGTAAACAGCACGGAACAAGTTCTAATTAACCATCATGCCGTGTGTGTCTCATTTCAGTGTGAATATTATGTCAGCATTGCTCATAATTCAGATTAGAGAAAAGAAAAACATCGTTCCCTCAATGTTGAAGACACGTAGACAATTAGGTGGATTCGTTTGTTGGCTGATTGTTTGTTGGAGAGAAGTCGGAGTGCAGAATCCATTACTGGTAACGGCCTCAAATGATAATTCGTTCAAGCAGTGATCTCATTGAAACTTAGAAAATACTAGGAGATTGAGATAGAGTGGAAGTGGAGAAGATGTTTTCACCAGTAGATGAGACAATGGCACAGCCCAGGTTCAAAGGGACGACCATTTAGAACTTAGATGAAGAGGAATATCTTTAGCCAGACAGTGATGAATCTGAGGATCTCATTGCCACAGAGAGCTGCGAAGGCCAAGTTATTGCGTGTATTTAAGACACAGACAGATTGGCTAGTGCTTAGTGCGGGCAGAAGGCAGGAGAATGAGCTTGAGGAACATGTCAGCCTTGATTGAATGGCGAAGCAGAATTAATTTGCCAAAGAGCGTGATTGTGAAATCTAATGTCTTGTGGTCTGGAGGCGACATTGTTAAATATGAAGTGACCATATTTTTGAAAATAAAGCAAAATGCGTTCACTACTTCATTCCAAGATCAGAAATTATCTGCTGGTCTTGGGCATTGAATGACGTAGACTTTAAATGGTGCGGGGCTCTTTAACTTCAAACATGACAAATGGCCACAGACCAAATGGGTATCATATTTGATTAACAGGTATAAACGTGATTTAATCGAGCCTCTTTTAGACGTTCTCTGTAATTACTGGATGTAGCAGGAAAACGAAGTCTTGTGGGAATGCCACAATAGGGCTGAATGAACCAGGAATTAGAGCCAGGCTGTTTAACCCTGGTTTCAGAATGGAGATGTTCACTCAGTGAGTAACAAAAGCCTGAATTTCACGAGCACAAATTTCTGTTGATTTTGTACTAAATTTAAAACACTCATGCGTGATTTTTTTTTTGTTTTGTTTTCGTTCTGTGAAGAAATTAAAGTAGCAGATCAGTCAATAAAATGAAAGTAGAGACCAGTTATTAACTAACTGAATGGAGGGAAAGTCTTGAGGTGATGAGTGTCCTATTCGGTTTCCGATGCTGCACTCAGTGTCTTATTTTCAGATCTACTCCAAATTCGGCACATTGGGAATGATATCTCATGACATATTTTCGAGAACGATCTCACACCAATAATGCAAATTCCTTTCGATCAGGTTAAATCATATTGAATAGAATTTCCGTGGCCATTCAATGTTCCTGTACAACATTAAAATCTCTGTAAAAACATGATGAATAAGAGAATAATTACGTTTGATTACACTTTGCCCGAAATTCAGGATTTGATTTGGCACTCAGCATAACCAGCAACATTTGCATGGATGGTTCATGAATGTAGAAATGAAGTCATGATATTGACTGCAGATTAGTATTGTCACAAATATCATTAGATGATCTTAAGTGACAGAAGAACTCAGAAAAGACGGTTTCTCTATGGGTTACGTAAAGGTACCTTTGATGATTTATTTTTGTTTCACAGGTTTCAGTTGTGGCGAAGCCAGTGTTCTTTAGGAATAATTACACTGATCATGTTATAGGTAATCATGAATGTTTTCATGAATCGAAATATATGAATAGTAGTAAATATTTCTTCAGCAAAGGTTGGAAGTTGCCAACTCGAAGATGATTTCTTTACCTTGTAGGAAATAGTCTGAAGACGTGTTTTGATCCGAAAGATTCATTTTTCATTGATTCTGATTTCTTTTCATTGCAGTTGCGGAGTGCCGTGATCACACAATTAAAATACTACCACCGCCATTAGAACAGGTCTTACTGGAAGCGACAGTGACGTTAACCTGCGTTGTGTCCAATCTTCCTTTTGGAGTCAACGTCACCTGGACACAAGGAAAGAAACCTTTGAAATCAGAGATTGCTGACCAAGCAGGAGACGATCCCGACAGCGTGATCAGCAAATTATACATTTCTACTGAAGCCTGGCTGAGTGGGGATAATTTCTACTGCGTGGTGAACCATCAGTATCTACCAACTCCTTTGAGAGGTTCCATCCACAAGGAGAAAGGTGAGGGATGAGACTAAAGCACAAAGTATCCTGTGTGTAATTTAGAGCCAATTATATCAATAGCATGCGTTGATTGTAATGAACTGACACCGTTGGCTGCGTTAATGGTGCATTTTACGACTGGAAAACGAAGTTTCTATTAAATACGAAGACAGATTAAAAGATATTCTATTGTGATTATAATTAAATCAACAAGGTGGGAAGAAGCCTGGAGGTTTGTGATGAAAACATCAGTAATGAAAAAGGGTCAGATTATTCTACTTCTGGGCTGAAGACATGGAGGCGACTTTCAAACCAAACTCGTTAGTTTTTAATGAATAGAATGGATACTGTTCTGTTTCTTGAGAAATTGAAAGTGAATCAATCCCAAATTAAAAATGGAATGCTTTAATATTTAGTGAAATACCAATATTGATTCTGCATTTTAAAAATTCATTTATATTTGTTTCAAATATTCTGCAGTGATAAATCCACTGGAGCCGTCAGTGTCTGTCCTCCTGCCACCGACAGAAGAAATCTCCGCTCAGAGGTTTGTCTCCCTCACCTGTTTAGTCAGAGGATTCTCCCCCAGAGAGATCTTCGTCAAATGGACAACCAATGACAAGCTGGTGAATCCCATTAACTACAAGAACACCGAAGTGATGGCAGAGTATGACAACGCCTCCTTCTTCATGTACAGCCTGTTATCCATTGCTGCGGAGGAGTGGGCCAGCGGTGCTTCTTACTCCTGTGTGGTGGGACATGAAGCGGTTCCATTGAAGATCATCAATAGAACAGTTGATAAATCGAGCGGTAAACCGAGTTTTGTGAATATTTCACTTGCACTGATGGACACCATTAACTCATGCCAATGAAAATCTCAAGGCTCCCTTTAAGAATTCAATAAAAGTAATAAAGTGTTTCTTTCCTCAAATTGTGATTTAAATACACAATATTTTAATTAATTTTGTTTCCCAGTTTTACTAATATTTCATCCTTTGAGCTACAATCGCTTATTAGCAGGTCTCGGACACATGTCTTGTGCAGTTAATGCTCCCTGCTCAGGCACACAATAGGTCGGTCAGAGACAGAGTAAAGCACACACATTGCAGGATTCTGCAAAACACATCATCCATCTTAAATCCTACTGAGACTAAATCTAACAATTTCTGTTTTACGACAAATGAACATGCATTTTGATCTTGCTGTTTCTGAGCCCCAGTTGCCTATTCCTTTAAAGTTCATGTCAGCATAGCACGAATTGGGGACATAAACTTAAGAGACTCCGAAAATTATTTTTGATTGCGAATTACCAACAGGAAAGAGAAGCTATGGGTAACATTCGCAAAGAGTGGAAAGTAACTTGAATTTAACCTTTGTGTCTGGGAAACTGGAAGGGATCTCGCACCAGGGTATTTGTTGACAGAATGTATCTTCACTTCTAGACTATGAGAAACGGAAGAAAAAATGTTATTGTAGAGCACAGAGACAGTAGAGGGAACAATTAATGGGCTGCATTCTTACTGCCCGTGCATAGTTTTTACGACAGAGGCCGTTTGTAATGTGAGCTCGTTGCAGACATTAACAGTTGTCCTCTTGCTTAATGTCTAGCTTTCTCTCCGAAAATTTAAAATTTCCATGCAAAATTATAACTTTGAAGCATTTCGGATGCGTTTGTCCACGTTAATCACCTCCTAATATTGATTACCCACAATCCAAGGCTGAACCGATTATTGCAATATCCCTGTTGGTATTCCACAGTTTTGTGGAACACATGAGATCAATTCTGGTATTCGAGCGCCTGAAGTCATTTGTTTCACGTACAGAACACTTGTAGATATTTTCCAATCAACATCTTCAGAAATGTTCTCTGGAGCAGTGGGAATTTGAACTCAGGCCTCTTGTCTCAAAGACAGCAATCGTTGACAAAACGCTTATCTTTCCACAATAACCAGAAATGTGCCCGACACCATCCGGGTCAGACCAAATTGTTGGCAATCGATTAAAATTAAATCAGTAATAAAAATGTTCATTGTCTGCTGTAAGAGCAGAAACGCACACAGGTACGTAAACACGCTCACAAACGCAGCCAAAAAACACACATACGCAGGGTCTCAACTGAAGACACAGATATATGCGCACATATAAATGTGCGTACATATTCGTCGAGACACACATGCATACGAAACATTAGCATTCACACAAACACTCACACAAACGCACATACATAGAAAGAAACAAACAAACACACAATTGTGAACAGGGGGTCCTGCATAACGAGGAAAAACATATGCACACGTTAAGACGCAAATGGACATGAAGGTATGTACGTTTGTTCACCGTAATACCTACCGACCCACATGCATAAACAACAGATACACATCCGAAATATTCTCCCTCATGTACAATCACAAGGAATATATGAGCGCAGAGATAAACATTAATCGCATTATTACCCCACTTTAACAAACTTGGGCGCATGAGGAGAGAGGTAGCTTAATTATTTATTGTTAAACTACATTGATTAGCACATATACACGGTCACGTTTACACACACGTGCGGACACGCAAGTACACAGATCAACAAATAGTGGAACATTTACAAAGCAAGGATTATGACACAAGCATCAGCATATATCCACAGAATAACAAAACTACTCATATCAGAAGACGGTTTACTGTGCATCGTTGCACAAACAGGCATCATCACACAAATATTAACATCCATCAAAACATGAAGTTGCATACTAACTTAACACATTTCTGGCGCACAAACATGAAAGTATCCTAATGTATGTAGGATCTGAAATAGACACACAAAAACATATTTTAGTTGGCACAAACTCAAAAATAAAGCATTCAAAAAGACATTAAAAGATAAACATAAGCATCAACGAATGAAGTGGCATGTTATCACAATGTAAATTTTGAAATGAACAACATTTACATACACAAGCACAGTCATGTAAATGAACAAACAAGCAGTAAAGGAACATGAATATGTTTATTCATGCGCAAACTTCATGATGGATATGTGCGAAGTAATAGGCACTCATAACCATAAAGACAAGCATTATAGGAAAGGCATACACTCCAAGCTATAGATAAAAATAAATGAAGAGAAACATGACAAAAAAAAATTAGTCCTAATGCATACAGAACATACAATCAAAAGCATGAAGCAATATTCTTACCGTGGATCTAAATTATGTGCATGATTTGCCACGCAATTGGTTAAAATTACTTGAAACAAATGAGCAATTACATTTGAACTCCTTTTCAGTGATGGCCATAATTTTCAATTAAACAGTTGTCACAGCCTATATTTAAAGTAAGGAGATGTAATTAACATAATAATTTCCACTGAGTATTCCTTGAATTATAACGATGATAATATTTTCCAATAATAGATTAAATGACGTAATAATTCAAAATGTCTTGACACGGATAATAAAGGAAACACATTGCAGTTAGTACTAGTTAGTTATTGCTGAGAATCACTAACACAATGATGGATGCAGATAAGAGCCAAATTTGAGTACACCCTGACGGTTTGTAGAAGATGTGACGATCCCTGATTACATTGCATAGACACAAATACATCAGACTTAATCAATGAACAATCTAAATACATTCTATCGACTTTATATTCGCAGATTCTATAGATCGCACTTGGATTGAAGACTATGAGGATGATAATAGAAACATGTGGACGACTGCTTCCACATTCATCACCCTGTTCTTCCTGAGTATTTTCTACAGTGCTGCCGTCACTCTGGTGAAGGTGAGAACAATCAAAACATTAACACTTCAAACAGACGAATATGGTTTGTCAGATCTTTAAGTGTGTCATTGAATAAAAAGTAAAACCCGAATGTCCCTGATCATAAACATCAGCATCATTACTTTGTCGCTCTTTCTAGGTCAAGTGAATAAATTTTGGACACCGTAGAGCTTCCTCATCAATTTATCGAGGCCTCTGAATTCCAAATCTACAGTCGGGTCTGTCTTTGACTCTAACTTTGAGGTGACTTCAGTTTATCAGTGTGTAACTCAGAAAACAAATGATGCCTTTTCCGTTTTCTTTTGTTTGATATCGTCGATATAATTATGGTTTCAATAATTTGTAACTTCCCAATTGTTTGAAGTCCATTTGTATTTGTTGTTGTTGTTGATGTTCTTATTCAGAATAGTTGTCTAGCCTTTATGCTGAGCCCGTATTTTCTCTCTCCGGTGATTGTTACGGTTGTAGATAAAACTCACCCCGCAGAGCACGTGTGTTCTCATTTCAATGTGGCATCCAGTAATTATATTCACTTCCGTTAACTTTAACATGAACTTTTCTAAAACTGATGTCTGAAATAGTTAATAAATCTTGAAGGAATTTGTACTAAACTTAAGTTTGCTCAATTCTTTCTTCAATGCCCATCGGTTACGATACATTTTCCACGCTTACACACCCCACTCTGTGCAAAGTCAAATGCTTTTCACTGATGTCTGTGTTTCATCCAGTAATTGAGCATAATGCCGCGGCACCTTGCGGCCTACTAAGGTTAATCCATCTTTCACTCGGTATGTCTGATGGAACACTCCAGAGGTAGAATGATAAGAGTGCAAGGAGGCCTTCGATGTTTCCTTTTATGCACAAAAGTTCACTGCTTCAAGTTAAGTAATTTTAAAAATAAGGAGTATTGTTCCACCAGAAGCCTATAAAAGGCAGGAAATAAAGTTAGAAAACTTACTCTACTCTGACTAAAATCCAAATCATTTTGAACGTCCAAATATGTTCATCATTCATTTGCCAAAACTGTTATCGTTCAGTCAGGAAGACAGAAAAAACACCGAGGCAAAACAAAAGCTGATTATTAGAACTGACGTTTTTTCACACGTAAGCCTCATGCAACACAAATCTTGGGATCTATTTGAAATAGCACAACGCCAAATCCCAGGTAATGAGATTCAGATCTATCTGATGCAAGGGTGTCACTAAATAGCACCCATCAAAATCGTAAATCAGAGTTGAATGGCGATCAGGCAAGGCAGAGATAAAGAGTATTGGAAATGTTCAGCAATTGGGACCTATGTGGCGAAAGACAGATTTCAGCACCAATAATAACAGCCGTACTCAGAGTCTGGAACCTATCCGGTGTAGAGATGCTGAAGCCTTCTCCACTAGTTAAAGTTTATTTATTCTGGGAGCTACATACATAATATGAATCCCTTATGAAAAAAAAACTGTACACGTTTCAAAACCCCATCATTTAAGATTTTCCTTGGCCAAACCTTATATATTAGTCATCCTGGAGACTCAGACATTGGTAATTATTTGAGGCATGATAAGAACTTGCCAAAACCAGGCTTTCTCCCATTTATCTTCATTGACCATTTAACCCCTAAACGTGAACGTTATACCTCACCAAGAGATGAACGATCAACTTAAATATCTACGAAAGTTCCACACATGTAAATACTCCAAATTTAAATGAATTGCTCACTAAATGTACTTAGGCACACACAGAGATTGCCTGGAAATCTTTGGAGCAAGAGTTGCATATTTTCATTGCAGCTCGAACTGTTAACAGTGCAAAATGTCTAAAACAGATACAAAGGCGGATCGAAGGAGTGGAAGTGAAAACGATGAAGGCAGTGGTAGTTTGCAACGCATTAAATATGAACTGACAATACAAATTGTGCATTGCTCCTATATGTGGGAGATGCTTGTACAGATTTTTATGTTTACTGTTTTACAGACACTCACATCGTTGTAGATCAATCACAACTACTCTTTCAAAGCATTACGCCAGCCTAAATGCTACAAACGTTTGATTATTTCCGAATCCACTGCACACTTTACTGGTGCATTAATTGTTCGAAACACTAGCTACATTAAAATATGTTTCACTGTATCTAGTTTCAAGGAATAACATCCTACCC